TTGTGCAAGAGTTAAAGTCAAAGTTCAAATGTGACTGTCCGTTAACCCTCTCAGCACAGGCGTCACTTCAGCGCAGCAGTGTGTGAGGGGAAAATCTTTGCTGTGGGCGGCTGGTATCTGGATTCCCTTGTGACTCCTGACTCCAGCACTGGTGTATACACTGCTGTGGAGAGGTACGATCCATGGACAGATACCTGGGCATTCGTTTCCTCCCTTCCTCTGACAGACTTTCAGTTCAGCCTGTCCCTTTCTCATGACTCCCCACTCACAACCAGCCTAGGACACTGTCTTTATGTACTGGGAAACATCCAAAGAACTGGAGAGAAGTTGGTGCTTCGCTACGATACTAGACAAGGTACAGTATAGTCTGGTGTAGCCTAATCAATTATTATCTCGTATGCAGTTAATCAAGACGGTTTGCCTTGATTTAAGTTCCTTGATCAAGATGTTAGGTAACTCAAATTCATATTTACTGCAGTTCAAATTGGAGTGTGATTGTTCCCTGTGCCCCCCAAAATAAATGTACATGCACATTACATCCTGAAGAAGTAAACAAGGTGCTTTCACACACTTGCAAATCAAGCCACAGTTACAAAGCTACCAAATTCAGAAAACTTCCTGTATCAAGGGTATGAAATCCTATGTAGTCTCCTGAAATGTTATGAAATATTCACAGCTGATGTGGTGAAACAGCAACTGTGACATGTGATTGACTGGAATATTTTGAGGTTGAAAGTGTGACATTTCTCAATGAAGCAGAACTAGCCACACTAAGTAAAGTGATGTCAAATTATGCGTCTCGTCGAGGTAAGGGTTCTTTGATCTGCCCTAAGTTCACAGGTCAGAGGTTCAACATCTAGTGGTATTCTAGACAATGGCTGTTTCTCAATTCCAAGAACGCAGAGAACGGACTTGTGTTCTTGTGGAGAGCGGTCTTGCCAGGTGTCCTCGGAAGAACGAACTCAGGAGACCGCAAGGGCAGAGAACGCGTCCTTTGAGAAATGGGATGCTGCGTTCTTCCTGATGGTCACATGACCTTCACGCGTTTTAAATGGAAATTATTTAACCATTAAAGCATCCATACAACAATTTATTGTTTTTTCCCCTCTTAAAAAAAATTTACTTTGCATAAAAACATTATAAATATAATTTGCACAATATAAATAAAACACATTTTAATATGAATTTCAGCAAACAAACACCCTTAATGTGTTTATTCCTTTATTAAGATGTTCATGGTAATGTTTACTTTCACCGTTTCCTTTACGGAAACTCCTGAGGTAAATAAATGATATCTCTGAACTTTAATAATGCATCTAAATAAAATGCTGCGCTTCCCACCTTCAGTCACAATTACTTCTGGGACTTCCAGAGCGAGTTCGGTGCTCAAGTCTGCATCAGTGCGTCCTCGATATCAAGATCACATCCGGGAAGTTTCACGCGTCCTCTGTACTTGCGGTCTTGGATATTGGAACTGAACTTAGGCAGCTGATGATGACGTTGCAAGACGACGCAAGACCGCTGAAGAATGCATATTGAGAAACAGCCATTATTTCCAAGTAGATAGTAGAAAAACTCCCAATTCCAAGTTGTCTGGAACATAGCACAAGTTACCAAAAACAAACCCCGTTGGTTATATCATCGTCATGTTTCGTGCCACTCTTGACATACTAAAAATCTGAAAATAACCGGAGAGGTCGAACATACATGCCCAGGGAGTAGTTTGTGGTTTCACTCGAAGATCAAGTGATGAAAGTTCCAATAAAATCAGCTCAATGTTGGCGCCAATAACCTTGTATATATACATATACTGCCACTTTTGACAACCTGAGTTCGAGTCCCAGCTCAAAGACCTTTCCCTATTCAATCCTAATAAAAGCAAAAACACCAAAAAACTAATCTTTAAATAAATCCTCTCAAAAAAGGGACATATTTACAAATAATGCATTCAGGATCACAAGATTCATTTAGAAAACAGATACAGTGAATATCCATTCATGATGATGTTAACCTGTCCCTCTCTTCTCTCTTCCTCCCAGATAGCTGGTGTGAACTGCTCCCCACACTAACTCGCTCTACTGCAAATGTCCCCATCTTGCATTTCTTGGGTGCTTCCAATAATCAGCTGGTTGTAATTGGTGGGAACAATTCTGAAACCATGCTGACCTCTTTCTGTGTGGACTCTCAGAAGTGGGGCCAAATAAAAGCAATGGAGAAGACCACTTTACTCGGCCAGGGCACCATTCTGAACAACAAGCTCTACATGTCAGGGATAAAAGACAATTCTGTAGTCAAACTGAATCTGCATTCTTTGTCTCTCGGTCTTCTTCCTCCACTTCCCATTTCTACCTGTTATGAGAGCATTTTTCACCTCTACTTCTAATGTTTAAATACAAAGAATTTCCCATCCATTTACAAAACCTGCCTAAAGCAAGGATGTCCAATCCTGCTCTAAGGAACAAAGTTCTGCTTAGTTTAGCTTTCATTAAGTAGGACATGTTCCTGTATAAACTTCCATGTTGATCCTTTAACAACATGCCAATCAGAATTAAGGGATACGTTTACAGTTTATGTTATTTTTTGGGCTTACGGTTAGGTTTATGCACTTCTACATGACTGTTATCCAACTATTATTCCTCTCTGACTTTGGGAGTAATTTACAGTTTTGGTTGGGTTTAGGAGTAGGGAATAGGGATGAATTACATTTTCAAGAGTTCACCCTTAGCTGATGATGGATAATAAAAAGCATGTTTGGCGTGCTGCCCCGGGTGAGAGCCCTGAGCTCAAAAGATCCTTGAGCCCGGGGCTCCCTCCCATTTGAAGGGTGAAAGGGGAGTTTGAGCTTGGGTGGATCTCGAGAACTCCCCTGTTGTAAGTGACAAATTATGGATTACTGTGGAAATAAACTGCTGCCTAGAGCTCGTCTAAAGTGCCAATTTGGTTTATTCAATTCACCTATAATCGCATGTCTTTGGACTGTGGGAGGAAACCGGGAAACCCTGGGGAAACCCACATGAGCACGATGAGAACATGTAAACTCCGCACAGAAACGTTAGCTGGTCTGGTAAGGACTCGAACCAGTGACGTTCTTGCTGTGAGGCAACTGTGCTAACCACTGGGCTGCCATGCCACCCTGTCTAGAAGGGAAGGAGGAATAGGGGTGGAAGGGGTAGGATTCTTTAAAACGAAGATACAGAGCTAAGAAATTCTGGTTATTTATGGTGAGTTTGGAATTGACTGATTGGTGGATCATGTATTAGCTCATGCTGAACCAGCCATGTTCAATTATAAGTCTGCACTCCTCTTGAAATTAGTTTGTAAATAAGCAACTCTTTGAACAAAAATGATGTTCCAGGATCAACATAGATGCTGCGGTCACACTAAAGTTTGTGTGTGCAAAATTCTGTCGTACGGCGCTGTGAAAAGGGGTGGTTTTAAACAAGATTATTAGACATTAAAAAAAGCGAGCGATTGCTCAATGTTTTAAATTTCTGTCCAGAGAGGTCATGTTTTGATCTTCGATTGGTCTCACACAGTCAAGTGACGTGATTTCGCAGGTCAGAGTTCACCAAGCTTAAACTTTGCACCGCATCGAACAGCGAAATGTAACGCATGACCCCATGTTTCTGGTCTGATGCATTCGTGTGTGTATAAATGGAAGTCAATAGGGAGAAAATTCAAGTGTGACCGCAGCTTAAACCTAAAACTTTTTTTTTAATTATTTAACATAATTATCTAGCCTAACTTCATTCCCTTTCTTCGTTTTGGAAGAACCTCCCCATCCATCCCTTTTCTTTAATTCTAAGATCGGGCGACATTGCAGCTCAGTGGCAAGCACTGCTGCCTTACAGCAAGAATGTTCAGCAAGAAGGTTGCTAGATCAAGTACTAGCTGAGCCAGTTGGCACTTTCTATGCAAAGTTTACATGTTCTCCCTATGTTCACGTGGGTTTTCCCTGGGTACTCTGGTTCCCTCCCACCGTCTAAAGACATATAACACAAGTGAATTAAATAATAGTAAAAATCACAAAAAAGTTTGGCAGCCTATTTCCATATAGTCGTCTTACTAATCAAGGTATAGGTTAAACGAATCAGGGGAGCTCTCGAGAACTTTCTGATCTCGTATCCCTCCTAACGCTCATTGACCAGGCGGGAGCCTTGGGCTTATCTATCTCCGAGCTCAGTGTTCTCTCCCAAGACAGCTTGCCAAACCTGCATCTAAGTGTAAACTCTTGAAATTTAGTAAAGGTAGTGAAGGAGACTTTGATACTCTTCAAGCGTTTATTTAGTGTTGGAGTCAAACTTTTGAAAGATCACTTATTTAAAAGCAAAACATGTTCAGAATACATGTTGCTGCCGCATAAACTTTATTTGGTATAATTACAGTTAAAGAAGAAAGAGTGTATAATTATTTTGTTGTGCTCGCTGAATATGACCTTTGTTATAATACTCAGGATTAAAGGTGTTCAACAACATTTTGCAGAAACTATTGTCATTTTTGTTTGAATATAGGCCAAAACTGCTTATGTTATGGCTATGTATAACTTCTCGAATCCTCAAGCAAGTAAAAGTAAAATCAGAGAGGGGATACTGAGATTTCTACTGAGGGGGCTTGCATTAGTAAGTCAACAACTAGCAAGTTTTCTAACAAAACACAAAAACAACCTAATTATAATGATAGCCAAGCCAAATGCAAAAATACAATTACCCAACAAGTTCCTTGTTATTCAGTATTTAAAAGCATGCTTTTTAGATGTCTGACCTTTTACATAACACACTCACAAACCTCAATTTAATGAATATTTTCCCAAAAAAACATTACTAAAACAAATCCCTACATGTACCTAATGGCTCTCAGTCTCCTACAACCATCATCAGAATGCTCTGGCATGCAGCCATGGGATATTTCCAGCTGCACTGTTAAAAATCGGGCCTGTGTTTGATCATACAGTGTGTCCTGACTGTACAGCCACCCGCATAACTCTGCCCTGAGAGTGTCCAGTTACACATGCACAGAACGAGACTGCTTTTATGAGAGCTAATATGCAACAGGTAGTTCAGAGAGTACAAGAAAGCAAACAGTCACAGAAAACAGGGAACTGGCAAATAAAGGAAAACAGTGAGGGAGGGAGAGCTAGAAGAGTAGATATCTAGACACCGAGCAGCAGACTAACTCCGAGATTGCAAGAGGAGACGACTGAAGGGCATAAGAGTTAAGAACAGTTGACTTCCATAAAGGACATTCCCAGAGAAAATTGGACATCCTCAGTTTTCATCTGACTTGAGCTGTTTTACACCCGCATTGCACTGCAGGTAAAGCCATGCCTTATTCAAATCTTGATGATACTTTGAATTATGATTAAGCTAAATAGTTGTTTAGTTGCATCAGTGACTGTCTTGTCTAATTGCCGGTGTAATTGTACAGCTTTTTTTTTACAGTACTTGGAAGTATAATGGTGTCTTTGTAGAATATTTTGGTAGTTATTTTTTACCAAAGATTCCTAAATATGCTGTTCATTGTTATTTTCAATGCTTTTTAACATATATAAATATATTGTTGGCTATTATGTGCTCAACAAACATTAGTATTCACGGTCATAGAGATGTAGATTTTTGTCAAATGTGTATATATTTTATTTTTATAATACAATGCATATTCTATTTTAAATAAATCTCCTCATCTACGCGGTCATGCGTCAGAGGTCACGTGTGTTTTGGCCAGTGTCACTGAAACCTCATCACATAAGAGCCCAACCCTCTCAGATGTCCTACTACGTTATTTCTGACTGCTGAACTTTAGCCCACTTCTTCTGGCCTCAGTCATATGACATGGAAAAAGAAACATAAGCTTGACAGTGTCAGAGCATAACTGAACTCTGCGCCTTCAGACAAAGTTCACTATAGGTTCCTAAAAAGGTTTTATACACACATTTTGTCATTTAGCAGAATCTTCAACCTAGAAGTCTAATAAAGTAGCGTTCTTTCTGGAGGGACTTTGACTGATTTTAACAATCCTCCAGTTCATAAATAGTCCATGCTAGCTTTCAAGCTTAATCCTTCACTTAATAGTTATGAATTTACTTTATTCTTGTATCCAGAGTGACGTAAATATGCAATTTAAACTGAAATTGTTGACAAATTGGTCACCTCAAACATAACCTTTCACTTAGTAGCCCAGATCTTTCCACTGTTGCCATTATAGCAGCTATCCAAATCAAATGCTGTGCAAACACAGCTCAAACTCTGAAAAATAGTTTATTATGGTCTTTCTCATTCCTCAGGCTGTGCTTTAAGCCTGTATAATGGCAGAAGCTCATCAGGCGGTGGCATTTCAGTTCACCGTCACTCCTGATGGCATCGACCTACAGTTGAGTCGAGAAGTTCTCAAACACATCTACATATCTGGAGTGACATCATGGAAGAAACGGGCCATCCGCTTTAAGGTTTCATGTCTATCCTTCCTTCCTTCCTTCCATCCATCCATCCATCCATCCATCCATCCATCTATCTATCTATCTATCTATCTATCTATCTATCTATCTATCTATCTATCTATCTATCTATCTATCTATCTATCTATCTATCTATCTATCTATCTATCTATCTATCTATCCATCTATCTATCTATCTATCTAGCTATATTATTCCATCCATCTATCCATCCATCCATCCATCCATCCATCCATCCATCCATCCATCCATCCATCCATCCATCCATATCTATCTATCTATCTATCTATCTATCTATCTATCTATCTATCTATCTATCTATCTATCTATCTATCTATCTATCTATCTATCTATCTATCTATCTATCTTTCTATCTATCTATCTATCTATCTATCTATCCATCCATCTATCTATCTATCTATCTAGCTATATTATTCCATCCATCCATCTATCCATCCATCCATCCATCCATCCATCCATCCATCCATCCATCCATCCATCCATCCATCCATCCATCCATCCATATCTATCTATCTATCTATCTATCTATCTATCTATCTATCTATCTATCTATCTATCTATCTATCTATCTATCTATCTATCTATCTATCCATCCATCCATCCATCCATCCATCCATCCATCCATCCAACTAGCTATCTATCTAATGAAAGTCATCTTTTTCTTGTTTTGAGCAGAACAGTGTTCTGACCGGTGTTTACCCTGCCAGTCCTTCAAGCTGGTTATTTGTAGTTATTGCTATAATGAGCACCATGTATGCCAGGATCGACCCCTCCATGGGCACGATTGATAAAATCAAGACATCTCTACCAGTGAGGTAAATTAACAGCAGATCTATGAAAGATCTATGTTAGATAAAAACAGATGCATAAAGCTGGGAACATGGATGATTAGTGCATAAAATACCCGTGTAGATGGCATGCAAATGATTTTTAAACTGATTTTTGTATTTATAATGTATAATAAGTTAAAATTCTGATAAAGAGAAAACATTTAGGCAGTGAATATCAGTGTTTTGTTAAGGATTGTAGGTCTTGGACCACATCATTTTGCCTGATATGTTTGATCAAAAATATAAATACAACTGATATTACCAGTTCTCGGTACTGATTGGGCAACACATATATTTTATTTACTGTTAAGCAATGGATTTGGCAGCTTCGGTTTCTATTTACAGATTCATTCAGTTGAATTTGTGCTTCATCAGATGAAGCACGTTACACATTGAAATAATTTTTTGCCAACTACTCAGTCAGGGACCCTTTTTTTCTTTTTTGCTGTATATTTTTATGGAATACGTTAATTAATCTGTACAATCAATTCATTTCAACTGTACATTAATATTCATATTTATATAATATTTTTTTGTATATCTTTTATTTTATTGTATTAAACATTAAATGATTTTGTTTATATATATATATATATATATATATATATATATATATATATATATATATATATATATATATAAATATAAATATATATATATATTTTTTTTTTAATTCAAATGACTTGTTATGGACGTATTCTAAAGCAATGTTCTAAAAATGTCTCTTTTCTCCCCATGTATAGTGAGTTTATGACCGTTCAGACTCAGACGGTGTTGAGTGCCATCCTGTTTGCCACAGGTCTCTGGTTATCTGTCATATTCCTGCTGCGATACCTCCTCAAAGCTCTCCTGTCCTATCACGCCTGGATCTTTGAGTCTCATGGCAAAATGAGTTACTCTACTAAAGTCTGGCTGGTGCGTCCATCAATAAATATAATGATTAAAATCCAGTGAGTGTAGTTCACAAAGTATAGTTCGATTCATGAATAAATCTCTCTTTTTTTAGAGCCTTGTAAAGCTGCTGTCTGGTCGCCGGCCTCTGCTCTACAGCTTTCAGGGATCTCTGCCACATCTGCCTGTACCATCTATTGATGACACGATCAGAAGGGTAAAATTTTATCCGCTATCCTGAGTTTTTAGAAACTATCATGATATTAAGTGATTTGTTTTACACTTTTTACTTTCTTTAGGACACAAGCTGTTGTCTGGGAAATGTATATTTTACAATACTAGATATTTAAATCATGTCTGCTCAAGAGGTTGAACGTTTTGTTTGTTGTTGTTAGAGTAACTGAGGCACAAGCTGCAATGGCTCCACCCTCCTTTGGAAAAAAGGGTGGGGAGCAGCTGCTATTTTCCATTTAAAGAGATACACATGACGCAGTCGCTGTATCTAAATTTCCCCCCGTAACCTCATTCATTATTCCCAACATTAGTAAAAATAATAAACACTACTTGAAGTAGTAAACAAAAACAAGTGTCAATTAGAACAATTAGATGGCGTCAAGATGGCGCAATGGAAAACACAATCCCCTCACAGCAAGAAGGTCGCAGTCAGTTGGCATTTCTGTGTGAAGTTTGCATGTTCTCCCCATGTTCACGCGGGTTTCCTCTGGGTGCTCTGGTTTACCCCAGTGTCCAAAGACATGTTGTACAGGTGAATTGTGTAGGCTAATTATAAGTTGTCCGTAGTGTATGTGTGTGAATGGGAGTGTATGGGCGTTTCCGAGTGGCGGTTCATTCCACTGTGGCAACCCCAAATTAATAAAGGGACTAAGCCAAAAAAAATGTATGAATGAATGAATGAATGAATGAAAAAATGAATGAATGAATGATTCATATATATATATATTATATATATATATATATATATATATATATATATATATATATATATATATATATTAGTAGTCAACATTTGAAGTGAAGTGGATCAAAACGTTAATCAGAATTGTTTCAAGACACACACACACACACACACACACACACACACACACACACACACACACACACAAACACACACACACACACACACAGACACACACACACAGACACACACACACACAGACACACACTTCTAAACATAATTGTTTTAATAACTCATTTCTAATAACTGATTTATTTTATAATACTTTGTCATGATGACAGAACATAATATATTTTACTAGATATTTATCAAGACACTACTATAGAGCTTAAAGTGACATTTAAAGGCTTAACTAAGTTAATTAGGAAATCTATTGTTTAACGATGGTTTGTTATATATATATATATATATATATATATATATATATATATATATATATATATATATATATATATATATATATATATATATATATATTATAAACAATAAATTCTTATTAAATTAAGTAGCACTGTAAGTAGTCATTTTTGTGCTGTTTTAATCAGAAAATATAAATATTTTACATTTGGTCAGTTTAGTGGCTAATTCGTACAAATTTGAAAGAGTTAAGTCATTCGAAAATGTATGATTTTAAAAAGGAGTGCGTGGCACCCAACCTGCCCCTAAACCTAACCGTCATTGGGTGATGAGCAAATCGTACTAAATTATATGAATTAGCTTGTACGAATTCATATGAATTAGCCACTAAATCAAAAAGTTACGAATTGCCGTGAGACTGCGTTGTTTTAATCTACACTTATTTTAAATCAAATTTGTAAACAGTTAAAGTTTTTTGTTATAAAGAAAACAAAACTATATAAATGTACTTTTTCTTCTATTGCTTTTCATTCATTCATTCATTTTTCTTCAGCTTAGTCCCTTTATTCATCATGGGTCAACACACGTGAATGAACTGCCAAATAACCAGCATATGTTTTACACAGTGGATGCCCTTTCAGCCGCAACCCAGTACTGGGAAACATCCATACACACTCATTCACACACATACTCTACGGCCAATTTAGTTTATTCCACATGTCTTTGGACTGTGGGGGAAACCGGAGCACCCGGAGGAAACCCATTCAACACAGAACATGCAAACTCCACACAGAAATGCCAACTGACCCAGCTGGGACTTGAACCAGTGACCTTCTTGCAGTGAGGCATCAATGCTAACCACTGAGCCACCATGTCGCCCTCCTTTGCTTTTGATTTGGAATATTATAAATGTCTGCTTAAAATTGCTCTCTGCTTTGGCCATCTTCCCTCAAATAATTCCTTCGCTTCATTATGTTAGTATCTAGAATCAGTTCGACCTCTTCTGGATGATGAGCAGTATAAACAGATGGAGACTGTTGCTAATGACTTCAAAAAGGATCCTGCCCCCAAATTACAGAAACACCTAAAACTCAAATCCTGGTGGGCCACCAATTATGTAAGTAAACAAAGCATTTTAAGCATTACAGTACCACAAATTAATGGAAAACACTCTATTAAATGCTGCAAACTAAATAAAGGTGTGCTAACAGGTGAGTGACTGGTGGGAGGAGTATATCTACCTCAGAGGACGAGACCCCATCATGGTCAACAGCAACTTCTACACTATGGTGAATATGAAATCAAATCAGACATGAATTTATATCACAGTAAGGAATAAAAGACTACCACAACTTTTGTTTCATGCTGACTTTAAGTCTAAATTATAATTATGAATAACACAGCCAAACGGTGACACCTGCTTAATAACTATGTAAAAAAATGGTAAACTTTCAAGCAATTATTTAATGCATAGCCTTATGTAAAAACTGTACTGTCTTATGTAAAGTCTATATCCACAACTCTCGTTCTCTATCTGTCAGGATTTGCTGTATGTAATCCCCACATATCGGCAGGCTGCACGCGCTGGAAATGTAGTTCATGCTATGCTGCAGTATCGCCGTAAGCTGGAGCGAGGAGAGCTTACCCCGGTACAGACACATGCAAAATACTAAAACACTGAAATAGCACACAGAAATAAATATGAAGCTTCTTTTCAAACTTGTTCGCCACTCTCTATTCTCAGCTGAGAGCTCTTGGGATTGTCCCCATGTGCTCTTTTCAGTATGAGAGGATGTTCAACACCACACGTATCCCTGGCATTGAGACTGGTAATGACAGTTTAAGTAGATTAAAAGACAATTCACCCCAAAATATCTAATTTACTCACCATTTACTATCCCTTAAGTGATTCTTTACAAGTTTCTTTTTCTATTTAACACAAAAGAAAATATTTTGAAGAATGTTGGAAAATGGTAGCCACCAACATCAAAGTCAATAGGTAATGATGTCCAACATTCTTCAAAGTATCTTCTTTTGTGTTCAAAACAATTGAGGTTTGGATAAAGTGAAGAGTGAGTAGATGATGACATTCATTTGTGGGTGAACTATCCCTTTTAGGATTGTTTATTCACACCATGATGGTTTTCTCACACTGCCTTGTTTATGCTCAGACTTCGTGCAGCATCTGAAGGACAGAAAGCACTTGGTTGTGTACCATCGTGGCCGTTTGTTTAAGGTCTGGTTGTACTACGGTGGCCGCCACCTTTGGCCCTCAGAGCTGGAGCTCCAGTTTCAACGAATCCTAGATGACAAGTCTGAACCTCAACCTGGAGAGCTCAAGCTGCCTTCACTGACTGCTGGAAACAGGTGAAGATGATGTATTCCTGCAGCTGTGTGCGCTCAAAAATATTTTTTTGCTACTTGTTCTGACTACTTATTTGAAGAGTTCACCCTAATCTGATGATTGATAGTAAGCTTGTTTGGCATGCTGTCCCGGGAGAGAGCCCTGAGCTCATAAGATCCTCGAGCCCGGGGCTCCCTCCCGTTTGCAAGGCGAGAGGGGAGTTTGAGCTCAGGTAGATCTCGAGAACTCCCCTGCTGTAGTAGCTAATGAACAGATAGTGATTGCTCTTCAGAGATAACTACTTACTAGGAGCATGTCTATGGTGTCGATTTGGATTAATCAATTAACTTAAGATGCATGTTTTTGGATGGTGAGAGGAAACCGGGGAACCCAGGGGAAACCCATGTGAGCACGGGGAGAATGTGTAAACTCCGCACAGAAACGTTGGCTGGCTTGGTAAGGACTAGAACCAGTGACGTTCTTGCTGTGAGTGTTTACCACTGGGCCACTGTGCCACCCATTTAAGAAAGGAGGAGAAGTAGGGGTGGAAGGGGGGATTTTTCAAAACGAAGATGGCTGTTATATGGAACTTAAGGTATTTATACTGGCTTTGGAATCGTCTGATTAGCGAATCATAGATTGAATAATGCGGGGCCAGCTGCAAGTAATCATCACATGATCCTCTTGACCTTGTTTAAAACTTAAACAACACAATTCTTTAGTTTTTTGGGGGACAACTTAATTATTTTATGTTCAATCTCAGTGCTTCCCACATAGACTTTACTTCGGCAGATTGCCCAGGTATATTAACGCCCACCCAAGTATATTTGGCAACACTTTTATTTTTACTATAATTATCATCCGTTTACACTTCTTTTATATCCACCCAAGATAACCAAATATTCATGATTGATTAACCTGTGGATAATTGTCTCTCGTTTACCTGTTTCGTAGGCTACTGCTGATTCTTTGTTCGCGAGAACTGCCAACACTCCCACAGACAATCTCACTTGCTCTGCAAACCCACAGAGATGCAAGTTTATGGAAATTAAAAAATGTGAACTTTAAGTCAACTTAACATACATCAATCAAATGGACTAAAATTAAGTTAAACTTTGTAAAAAAAAAATTATAATAAATTGTTTAAACCTAGGGCGGCTCACTGGTTAGCACTGTCACCTCACAGCAAGAAGGCTGCTGGATCAAGTTCCAGCTGGGCCAGTTGGCATTTCTGTGTGGAGATGTGCATGTTTTCCCTGTGTTCGTGTGGGTTTCCTCCGGGTGCTCCGGTTTCAGTCGAAACACATGCGCTATAGATGAATTGAGTGAACAAAATTGGCCATAGTGTTTGAGTGAATGTGAGAGTGTATGAGTCTTTCTCTGTACTGGGGTTTCAATGGCTGGAAGGGCACCCGCTGTGTAAACATATGCCGGAATAGTTGGCAGTTCTTTACACTGTGGCAACCCCTGATAAATAAGGGACTAAGCCCTAAGGAAAGCCAATAGGCAGAAGGAAAATGAATGAAGTTAAAACCTAATTAACATATTAAAATAAGGTAAAGTAACATTAAAACATTTATTGTAATACCTTCTTATATATTATTGTTTCAGTGCACAGTGGCTTCTCCCACCACAGCAAATGTACTTTTAGTTTATCAGGATGGAAGTGATGATTTTGTTACCATTGACTCATTGGATGGCAACGGTGCTTTATTCACAAATGTTTTATGCAAATTTCTAGTTTGTGCATAAGTCTAATTTGCATCTTTGGGTGTAAACATAGCTAATGTCAGATGAGTTCAAGAATCAAGTCTCTGTAAACCCAACCTTACAGAGAGCCTACTCTGACTGGTCAGATGACTGGACAGGTATGTTTGTATTGGTTGACTATTTACTGCATGTTGAATTGAATGCTAAATTTTAGCTCTGGAGGCTTTCCTATCATTTGTAAGTGCAGTGATATGGACAGCAGAAAAAAGTCCCACAAGTTTAGACCAATATGAGGATGAGTAATTGATGAATGTAACCTTCCTCTTTAACACACATCCAGAGTTCCTTGGGCCAGGGCTCGTTTGAAGTATTTTGGTGAGGGTGTCAACCGGGCATCTCTGGAGGCCATTGAAACAGCTGCGTTTTTTCTGACCCTGGATGATGAAGCACATGGATACGATCCGGAGAACATACGGTCCTTGGACCTCTACGCCAAATCTCTACTGCATGGAAAGTGCTATGATAGGTAGGCACAGTTCATTCATTAATTTATACACTATTAATATAATATTACTAACATTAGCATGGCGGCATGTGGTTAGCACTGTCGTCTCACAACAAGAAGGTTCCTGGTTTGAGTGCTGGCTGGGCCGGTTGGCATTATTGTGTGGAGTTTGCATATTCTTCCCGTGTTCGCCTGGGTTTCTTCTGGGTGCTCCAGTTTCCCCCACAGTACAAAGACATGAGCTATGGGTGAATTGGAGAAACTAAATTGGCCGTAGTGTATGAGTGTGTGTGTGAATGCGAGTGTATAGGTGTTTCCCAGTAATGGGTTACAGCTGGAAGGGCATCCGTTGCGTAAAACATATGCTGAAATAGTTAGCGGTTCAATCCGCTGTGGAAACCCCTGAAAATGAATAAACTAAATTGGCCGTAGTTTATGTGTGTGAATGTGAGAGTGTATGAGTGTTTCCCAGTAACGGATTGCAGGTGGAAGGGCACCCATTGCGTAAAACATATGCTCGAATGGTTGGTGGTTCATTCCGCTGTGATGACCCCTGATAAATAAGGAACTAAGCCAAAGAAAAATTAATCAATGAATAATATTAGCATTTTTATTGTTTGATTTTTATTATTAATGTATTCTATTTTATTTTATATTGTAATATTTACTACTATTATACAATTTTTAATATCATATAATTTTATGTTTTATGTATTATTTTAAAAATGTTTGGTTTAGTACTTTTGCTATGTAGTTGTGCTATAATAGTTATAATTTTTCATATTTCTTTTTAATTTTAACCTCTATTTTGTATAAGTAGTTTACTACTTTAAGTCGTTTAGTTGTTGTTGTTTTTTTTTTCCGTTTTTTATGTAAAACATATTTTTGGTTTAATTTAAACTTACGTAACTTTGGTTTTAGTTAACTATAAAACCAATTGTCAGCTTATTTCAATACATATCTGCCAACACTCCTGTTTTTCAGTCAATGCAACATTCATTATTTTAATATTTCAGAATATTATTTTTTTATATTCTGAAATATTATATATTTTTATTATTTTTTATGATTTTATATAAGTTTAATAGGCCAACATAGTGGCTCAATAATTACCACTGTTGTCTCACAACAAGAAGGTCACTGGATCGAGTCCCGGCTGGGCCAGCTGGCATTTTTGTGTGGAGTTTGCATGTTCTCCTTATGTTGTCTTGTGTTTCCTCCGGGTGCTCCAGTCTCCCCCACAATCCAAAGACATGTGGTATAGGTGAACTGAATAAAATAAATTGGCCGTAGTGTATAGGGGGTCACATACCGGATGCGCCGCTCCACTTTGTAAAACGTGCTGGATAAGTTGCCGGTTCATTCCGCTGTGGCAACCCCTGATGAATAAAAGAACTAAGCCAAAAGAAAATGAATGAATGTAATTTTAGTAGTTAATGATAACACATTTATGATTGCTCCTCTGCCAAACAGTTGACCTTGTTTTTACCATTTTAAATAACGACTGTTAAAGTCATTTTAAGAATGGCTGTTTTAAATAATGGCTTACACACACAGCATTGTTGGTAGACAAAAACAAAACAAACAAACAAAAAATCAAACAAACACTACTACACTTGATTTTAATTTAATTGTTAAAAAAATAAATAAAAAAAACAAGAAACAAGAAAGCATGTTAAATGAAAATCTGAAATATTTTATGAAATACTTAAAAAGAAGAAGGTTATTTAGTATTAAAAAATATTTCAATTTTTTTATATAAATTGATCATACAGTTTATATTTTCAGATTTTTTATAGTATGTGTATTAAATCTGGTACTTTTACCATAAACCGACATATCAACAATTTAATTGAGACTGATATTTGAGAAATCATGAGATGTGTTGAAAGAACTGCATTAAGTGTGTTAAATAGTGACATTAGGAGGTTTTTTTTTCTTGGTGGAGTAGTTAAAGGGTTAATAACATTGTGTCTTAGTGGTGACCATCAGCATTTAAACCACATAAACACAAATAAAGTAACATTTACTGAAGCTCTATCTCAAATATTTCATTCCAGGTGGTTTGATAAATCCTTCAATTTGATTGTGTACAAGAACGGTAAAATGGGTGTCAACACTGAGCATTCATGGGCTGACTCTCCTATCATTGGACACATGTGGGAGGTAAACACAACTATTCATGATATATTAAAAATGATAGTTTTGGCCAGTATGTATGAACATCTATTTCAACATTCTGTGCAGTATGTTTTGGCCACAGATTGTTTCCATCTGGGATACACAGCAGAGGGACATTGCAAAGGAGATGTCAACAAAACCCTGGCACCCCCTACCAGATTACAGTGGGACATCCCAAAAGCGGTGTGAATTACATTTCAAAGTTGGAAGATTTAAACTCAGACTAATGCATGTTTCTTGTTTACACTACCTAATAAAAGTCTTGTCGTGGATCCCAGTTATGAAAGCAACAAATAATAACTTGACTTCTAGTTGATCATTTGGAAAAGTGGCAGAAAGTAGATTTTTCTGATCAATCATCTGTTGAGCTGCATCCCAATCATCACAAATACTGCAGTAGACCTACTGGAACCAGCATGGACCCAAGATTCATACAGAAATCAGACAATTTTGATAAAGGAAAAATCATGGTTTGGAGTTACATTCAGTATGGGGGTGTGCGAGAGATCTGCAGAGTGTATGACAACATCAACAACCTGAGGTGTCAAGACATTTGTGCTGCCCCTTACATTACAAACCAGGAGAGGGCAAATTCTAGAACAGGATAACGCTCCTCATACTTCAGCCTCCACATCAAAGTTCCTGAAAGCAAAGAAGGTCAAGGTGCTCCAGGATTGGCCAGCCCAGTCACCAGACATGAACATTATTGAGCATGTCTGAGGTAAGATGAAGAGGGAAACATTGAAGATCAATTCAAAGAATCTTGATGAACTCTGGAAGTCCTGCATGAACGCTTTTGCCATTCGGGATGACTTTATTAATACAGTAATTGGAGTCACTGCAGAGATGTATGGATGCAGTCCTCCAAGCTCATGGCAGTCATACACAATATTAAGTCTTTTTCCACAGCAGCATGACTTTATATTCAACACTGGACATTATTTCTGTTCAGTGACGAGACTTTTGTCTAAGCAAAGTCAGACCTTACTGTCCTAATAAAATAATTTAAAAAATCAAGGCATGATCATTTTATTTCGGTGAAATAAGTGTAATCTAGAGGTCTTTGCCTTTCATATAAGCCACTTCTGATAACAAATAATCAACTAGAAGTCAGGTTATTATTTGTGTTCCTAAAACTTGGATAGGCGACAAGACAGATAGTGTATTTTGATATCTGATTAAAGTGGATTATGTCTCTTCCAGTGCCAGGAGATTATCGAAGGCTCCTATAGGATTGCAAAGGGAATCGCTGATGATGTGGATTTCCACGGCTGCTTGTTTAATGAGTTTGGAAAGGGCCTGATAAAGAAATGCAGAACAAGTCCGGATGCTTTTATCCAGCTGGCACTGCAACTAGCTCAATATAGGGTATAAGTCAAGTCACGTGTATGGTTGAAGTCAAAATGATTAGCCCTCTTGTGATTTTGTTTTCTTTTTCAAATATTTCCCAAATGATGTTTAACAGAGAAAGGAATATTTCACAGCATTTCCTATAATATTTTTTCTTCTGGAGGAATTCTTATTTGTTTTATTCCAGCTAGAATAAAAGCAGTTCTTAAACCATTTTAAGGTGAATATTATTAGCCCTTTTAAGCAATATTTGTTTTTGTCCACAAAACAAACCATCGTTATGCAATGACTTGCCTAATAACCCTAACTTGCCTAATTAACCTACTTAAGCCATTAAATGTCACTTTAAGCTGAATACTAGTATCTTGAAAAATATTTAGTAAAATATTATTTACTGTCATCATGGCAAATTAAAATAAATCAGTGATTAGAAATAAGTTATTAAATCTATCATGTTTAGAAATGTATTGAACAAATCTCTCCTTTGACCAGAAAATGGGAAAAAATAAATAGGAGGGCGAGTAATTCTGACTTCATCTGTATATGCATCTATTCCTCTGCAAATGTGTGTCTGTTTATGGTGATCAAACTGTTTAAATGAAGTTTGTTTTTGCTGGTGCAGGACAAGGGGGAGTTTTGTCTGACTTACGAATCCTCCATGACCCGAATGTTCCGCGAGGGCAGGACGGAAACTGTGAGATCGTGCACTTGCGAGTCAACAGCATTTGTAAGAGCAATGGAGGATGACACAACCACGGTGAGAAAACCACACAATCCTGGAGTCACACAGTAAAACGACAGCTATAACGATAACTGTATTAGCGTCACCAGCAAACTTTCTATTTAATATAAGCACACACTGCAATTCTGTTGTCGTACACTTTAAATGCTTGTGTACTTTCAATCCCAGCAATTAGTAGGCCCACAAGGAATCTGCGCGTGCAGAATTCCACAGATTTTCCGCAGATTTTCCACAGAATTGTGCAGATTTCTGCAGTTTTTTAGCCCATTATAAATTCTGTTTATTTACTTGAGTAAATGTGTAAATCGGAATTTATTCAGTTTTTATTTAGTAATTTATTACTTTTTATTTAATATATTAAAGTGTAAGTGATGATACTCCGCTGGATACTCCCAAAATAATTCCGCAGAAATCCGCAGATTTTTACCAAAATTCTCTGCAGAAATAGCAAAAAACATCCGCAGATTCCATCTGGCCCTACCAATTAGTAACTTTTAAATTAATGGCTAATTCACATTATTTTGTACTCTCATTTGTGCATTTCAAAAAAGAAAAGCATTTTGATATTCGAGTACTATTAAGACCACTGTTGTAACATTCAGTGGAACATTAAAGAGAATCAGACCTGATGAAGACCTTGTAGGTCAAAATGTGGTCCAATTGAATTTTCTTTAGAGAGCTAAAGTGGTAGTGGGCTGATTCAATTTTGTGTGGCTTGATCAAGCACCTGCCTTTAGGATTTTCTTAAAAGTGCGCACACTAATGTCTTTTTTTTATCAGCACTTAACCAGTGGTATAAACTTATAAATGAACATTTCTGTGAATAAAATTGTCCTCTTTTACCTTTGCCAGAATGAGCAGAGGTTAGCGCTCTTCAAACAAGCAGCAGAGAAGCATCAGAACATGTACCGTCTGGCCATGACAGGAGCTGGGATCGACCGCCATCTCTTCTGCCTCTACATTGTGTCCAAAGTCATGGGCATAGACTCTCCCTTCCTCAAACAGGTGTGTGGCAGTCTGTTATAGAAAGACATACGGCTTAACAATGTACCGTTTGAGCATTGATATTGCAATGTGTGTATCAGCAATAGTCACATGGCAGGATTCAATTAAAGATTAAAAAATAAAGTTATTATTAAATAATATATATTTGAATCATTCATACAATGATGACCATGTTATTTGATGTTTGATTGTTCAATTTCTGTATTTAAATACTGTTCAATTAGGAGTTAAATTTAAGACTTGAAGACATTTTTAAGAGCCTTATGAATTTTAGACCCATAAAGGGCTAAAGACGAAGGATTTTTTTTAAAATGGCCCAGGTGAAAAGGATTTTTATTTGCCCTATCAAAATTTTTTTTTATACTTTAATACATTTAATAATACAATAAAGATTTAATAATAAAAATGTAAATATTTTAGATTTTATTTCTTAGCAAAATATTTTAAATATTTTGTGAAAACAAGCAAGTTCTACTTGTATCCATACACTTTTTTTCCCAACGTAACTTAAAAAAAATAATTAAACAAATGTTTTAAAAGTTTTAAAGACTATGGTAAACTAAATGTGTGTAAACAATCTGTCCAGGTCGGTGTCCTCAGCAGTAAATACATGGAGCACTTTTAAACAAATGTTATTGTAAGGAAAATTATTTATGAAAAATAGAGTAAAAATTAAATTAAATAAAATATTGAATAAAATTAAACAAAAGGTTTAAAGTTTTATTGAGATGATTGTTGGTGATTAAATGGGTTTTGGTCAGATTTGGTAGCAATACATGAACGAAACAAATTAAGACCTGTTTAAAAAAGACATGCAACACAATATTTCAGTAAATGTAAGACTTTTTAAGACTTAAAATTCTGATTTTGAGATTTAAGACATTTTAAGACCCCGCAGAAACCCTGACTGTTGCACTCCCCAGAAATCCATAAAGCACTATTTCAGTTTTATTTTTGCTCTGTTGTATTTGATTATATTTGTAAATAAAGCTTGTAATTTATTAGAATTTAGAAAAAAAATCAAAAAGAAAGAGCTTTATTGCCAGGTATGTTCACACATAAAAGGTATTTGTTTTCATTACAGAGCTTCTACAATGCAACAGAATAAAGACAGATAATAAAAACACATAATAAATATACTTTTAAAAATAGAAGTAGTGAATGCAAATGTACAAATTGACAAGTGTATGTGCAGGTATATTACTATATACAACGTTATATGTGTATATGTATATAAAAGTAGAGAAGGAAGCTTATGTTATTAGCCTTTTGATAATATTTACAAAGTTCCATATTTACAGATGCTAATTTAATAGCCAAAAAACATTTTATCCTGCTATACTAATTGAATTAAAACATTATACAAACAACATAAAGCCAAGCACTAATAAAAAAGCCATCAAAACCGCTTTTTTATAATCTCACAAGGCCTTTCTCTGTTAGTATGTTTACTTACACATTGTCTTATATGTTTTGTTCTGTACACCCCTGAATTATTTTTTATTTTTCCATTTCTTTTGTATTGTCCTAAATGTTGTTCTTTAAGCATTAATCAAAAAAGTGTGTATAAATGTGTATATCAAGTAGTGATGTCTGTTCCACAATTACTAAAAGTAATCACTTTTATGGAGATGCACTGCATAGAAAAGCACTTGAACATCTAAATTAATGAAATCCTCCCGAATAGAGCTATTCAAATCATCTGGTGAAATATATTCATATCTTAGCAAACAAAAATTTGCAATGTCAGATTTTTCCAATATTGTGCCCTACAATGACATTTCAATATCAGTTTACCATATCTTGTAAAACCCAAACACACCTTCTTTTCATAGGTTTTGTCAGAGCCCTGGCGTCTCTCCACCAGTCAAACTCCCCAACAGCAGCTCAATCTCATTGACACTCAGAAGTTTCCTAAATATGTGTCAGCTGGAGGAGGCTTTGGGCCTGTGAGTCTCTCTACAGCCCCCTGCAGTACACAATGTGTCATTATTTACAACAACATCTATAGTAAATGACCGTACAACTCTTAAAACAGGTTGCAGATGACGGTTATGGTGTTTCTTACATCATTGTCGGCGAGAATCTCATTACATTCCACATTTCCAGCAAGTTCTCCAGTCCTGAGACGGTAAGAGGATTTCAGTGTTAATATTTTACACACATTTTGATGGTAACAGATGATCGTGACAGCAACACACTATTCAAATATCTATATCTTGTTAATGACTCGTTCATACAAAAAGAACACCAGCAACTATATCAGCGTCCATATTAACTGGCATTAACGTTCTGTTTTAAGAGCATAATATTATTTTTAATAAATGAATAAATAAATAAATAAATAAATAAATAAATAAATAAATAAATAGCAGCCACTAAATTATTGTGGACTGATTGGTGCAACTGACATAGCTGATTTTATTTTATTGAATTTATTGATTTTTTTAGGCATAAATTAAAATGTTTCAAGAGTATTTAATTAAATTAATTGAAACCACATCATTTCATTTACCAGAAACAAAAATATAACATTATATTGCATTCATAATTTTTTTTTTTTTGTGCCACTCCAAGATTTGGTGCGGCCTCTTTTAGCCACCCCAGAGAACATTTTCTGGGGCGCCACTGCTTTTGGGAGGATTTAATTTGATATCTGTACTACCTTTTAATTTATAATGTTACAAATAAATTCAAAATCTAATAATACTGAGTTAAAATGCAGTCCTATTTTTGCAATTGTACATTTTATAATGATTTCGTTTGATTATTAAGTCACATACAACATTATTATTCTATTTCATTTAATTTGAATATTTTTATGTTCATAATAAAATATCTATAGAAATAAAATATCAGAAAACTGAGAATGTGAATAATATAAATGTGTTTGTGAATCAGCTGTCCACTGTAAACAACCACAGTAAAACACTCAGTTATGTTTATTGCTTATTCTTCAGCAGTGGTGGAAAGAGTACTGAAAAATCATACTTAAGTAAAAGTACCATTACTTGCCTACAAAAGTAGTGCGAGTAAAAGTATCTGTTGTAAATATTTCTTAAAGTATGAGTAAACACTAGCCCCTTCAAAAGTACTCAAGAGTAGTGAGTATTGCGTCATAAAAAGCAAATGACGATGATATTTGGTTGATTTTAGGTTGTGTTGGAAAGTGACCAAAATCCGAAAAACCTCTCCTGACCTTTTTTTATTGGAAGCACAGGTAATAGATTAGATATTCCCACAGTATTAAAGAGGACCTATTATGCCCCTTTTTACAAGATGTAAAATAAGTTTCTGATGTCCCTAGAGTGTGTATGTGAAGTTTCAGCTCAAAGTAGCCCACACCAATTTTCTTTTTGAGCTATACAGACGCCTTTGTGCTCACGTAGAGGTAGATTCAAAACAGTTATCTCTGTGATAAACTGAAAATGTTTAAAGAAGTGGCGCAGAAGTGAATCTTAAAACCCCACATATATAATGCCTCTTAGTTGCTGACATTATCTTTGGCCGGTATGGTACAGAAACTCTAATAGTGAACGGCTGCTTCTCACTTAGGGCTGTCTGTGGTTGTTGCCACACAATAGGCCCCCTTTAATAATGATTGCTGGCCTAATGCAGGTTTAATTGTTATACGATTAGATGGCAACAAGAGATTGTTGTATTAAATGGAATAAAATAAGATTTTTTTGTTAAAGATGCACTGAAAAAAAGTCAGGTGACATCATGTGACCAAAATTCAATGTCTAGCCAGTGACTAGGGGCAATTTTTTATTTTGATCACCAATAACATCGATAAATTATGTTGATATTTGGTTGTTTTTAGACTGTGTTGGAAAGTGACTAAAATCCAACTTCGATCCAACATCTTAAACCAATGTCACATTGACGTCAAAGACTGACATTTATTCATCAGGCATGGCAACCAAAATCCAACATCTGACAGACGTCATAGTGGTAACGTCCACACGACATCAAGCTGTAACATCACTAGACGTTGATATTTGGTTGATTTTAGGTTGAATGTTGGACATTGATGTCAGCCTGATGTCGAGTTTTAACGTCACACTACAGGTACAACATCAATCTAACGTCATGTTGACGTCTTGTGCCTGCTGGACGTTTAAGGCCATTTTGGTCACCATACACAGTAAGAGAATGAGAGATGAGCCTCCTCCTTTACTTTCACTCTCGTGGATAGGGAAACGTGTTGTACACACAGACATCCATTAGCCTATACATGATTAATTAACGTTTATTAAGCACAAAGGTTTGTTTCAAAACTATTTCTAAATTCAGTTTTAATTTCCAGCAAACGAAATAATGAACAATAATAACGAAGTGTGTTCAAAAACCTGAGTTTTATCCTAATACACATGCTGTGCCCCATATGGTCTAAAACCTGACAGGTGGACCAATCCAAGCTTGTTTTTTAATAAAACAAATATAAATATGCATTTAATAAATAATACTGGTAATAATAATAACATTATACAAAAGCAAATTGTCATTAATAAACTGAAAAAGCCCCCGAGATGAAGAAGGCTTGAAAGTATGGTTTTTATATTTACGTAGGCTAGAAAATAAAAAAATGTGTAATATTTTAATCCTTTAATTCTTCATTTGTAAAGATATTTGTGTATTGCTGTACATCCTGCGTGTTTTGAGCAATGTGTAAGCGAGGCGCACAACTAACGCGCTCTGCGCTGGACTATAGACATGCTTTGATCTGATTAAACATAGGCCTAAATGATGTAGACATAAAGCCAGTAGTGATGGGTCGTTCATGAACGATTCAGTCATTTTGAACGAATCTTCAATATGACTCGGGAACTACGAGTCCTCTCAGGGAGTGATTCGTTCATCCGCGCGTGCGCACATGTGTGCAGGTAGTATCGTTAATTTCAAGTCTTCATCACATTGGCAGAAGCCAATCATATGCGTTTAGAGCCGGAAAAAGAATTGATCCGCTCACCTCTCAAGTCCTATATCGGGTCTGAGTCATTCGTTCATCATGGGCAATCATATGTGTTTAGAGCCAGAAAAAGTTTTGATCTGTTCATCTCTCGAGTCCTCTATCAGGTCTAAATCACTCGTTCATCACGGGCCAATCATATGCGTTTAGAGCCGGAAAAAGTTTTGATCCGTTCATCTCTCAAGTCCTCCATAGGGTCTGAGTCATTCGTTCATCACGGGCCAATCATATGCATTTAGAGCCGGAAAAAGTTGATCCGTTCATCTCTCGAGTCCTCGGGTTTGAGTCATTCTGTCACATGATGAACGAACGATCATGGCTCCTATCGGCTTAGACTGTGCATTGATTAAGATTATATGTGACTGTCAGTGTAACGTGAATGAACCCCTGACATTTGAAGACATGAAGAGGTGAGCTGAGCAAAGAGACAAAAATGCCTTCATAGACAAAAGAGCAGGTAAACATTGAATTATTATTTTCTCCTTCTTATAGTATTCTATTTAGGACTTATTTGTCGTGCAATCAACCTTTTGGGCTAGTTGTAGATGTGTTTGGAAGCAATTCATAACATTTTAATAATAATATTTTGGCAATTGAACCAAATGAACGAAATGAAAAAAAGATTCGTTCATCTTGATGAACGAGACTCAAAGATCCGAGTCAGTAAAATGATCCGAACTTCCCATCACTAAAAGCCAGCAGAGGTCACTCCAATTCATTAAATAAAAACTAAAGTTAATTTGGCAGAAATACATAATGCATGAAACTGCAGCAACATCAACGCAGTCGGGGAGAAATTATACTTGGAATGAGACTCAGCCAATCAGAATCAAGCATTTGATCTGTTCATTTTATAAATGATGATTTAGTACTATCACTATCTGAATCTAACTCTGCCTCTGTCTATCTTTGGCTTTTGTGTCCTCAGGATTCTTTCCGCTTTGGGCAGAACATCAGACAGGCCATGCAGGACATAAGAGCTCTATTCAACCAAAAAGAGAAGAAGATGTGACTCCGTAAACCAAGAAGCTTCAGCTCAAAAGCTGCTCCAGCACCAGTTAGCAGTCACAAACACCACAAATAGCAGCCTTTAAGCTGTGACAGCATTAAATACATGTGTAAATATGTTGCAGTTATTTAAAGCAAGTAACAAGCCTAGCGAATTAGTGCACTTAGATAAATCAGATTTATGCTGGGGATGAAGTGTAAAAATGTACTGTATTTAATTGTAAATATTTCAGTGTGTAGCAAATGGTTGTAAATATTTAATTTGTGCATTATGCTCTGCACTTAAATAAACTTCTAAAAAGTGACATACAAGTGCCTTTGTCTTAAAATCCATCAGATACACACGATTTTCAAGAATTAAAAAAAAAGATTGGAGATTTATTGGTAGGGTTTCAAGGCATATATATATAATGATTAGCAAACAGAGAAAGAGAGAGAGCGAGAAAGTATGACCTTGTACAGAATACAGAAGTATGTACAGAATATAAAAACAGCTCTACCACAGACCAGAACTAAAGACGTTCATGTGAAACGGTGAATATCTTACATTAGAAACTGCATCCCCAATGTTTAGCACATTCTTTGAGTAACATCAGCACCGCCGTCAAAGACAAGCACATGTTTCCCAGAATACGAGGACTTGATTAACTAGAGAGGTATTACCTTAGATTCCTTCAGTCCGACAATGTTTCCACCGAACCGCGAGGGAGGGTTGTCTTATAATACAAAAGTAACAAAAAAACAAAGGTTTTCCCGATACGCTCTTCCTCATCGCTGCAGCTTCATCAACTATCATTCGAGGCCGAGATTATGACTATTACGATGTGTGTGGCACATACTAACAGCAAAGGCTAAAACACATCACGGCTAATAATGTATGAAACTGCAGGTGACGCGTGAGCAGAAGAAATTGTGAAGTAATCGGACAGGAATCGTACTATTTAATTATACGCTCTACTTGGAAGCTGCCTCACAATCAGGTGCATGTTCGGTTAATGTAACAGAAAACTACAGACGTAAAAAGGCAACCGAATTTTCTTCGTTAAATGCTCTTCTGCTTTATAACCGTGTCCATGAAGAGGAATCTGCCAGAAGGCCAAGACTTTACATATATATCATTAAGCTGATATATATTTTCAGATGTGCGCTTGTTGTCCAGGGTCAGGTTTAAGACGTGGCTCCTGGAGTGGTGTTGACATTCTGTGTGGCGACCTGTGGTGCGACTTCGATGATGCGGGGTTTGTCGATGATGCGTGCAGTGCGGTTGCCTTTCTCTACGATGCCGATGATCCAGGCCTGGTGTCCTTCACCGTACTTGGGGGATTTGATCTCGGCGCAAAAACGGGCTGCTTGCTCACGCGGAAGACAGATCAGCAAACCTCCTGGAGAAAGACAAATGTGGAAGAGGACTTTTAAAACCCTCAAGCTGTATTTATTTCCTGTTTAATAATCCTGTATCTGGGGTCCATATGACCCCAACAATTTATAGAGTAATTGAACAAAATGTACACATTTTACCCATACAAGTTATACATCTTTTTTTGTATAATTCAGCGTTAATGATGTGTTTTGGGAGATATGAAGTACTTTTGTACCTACATTACCACAAAACTACGTCTTTCCCCTGTATGTGAAATATTACATTTTTATGAAAAAGTCACTTCAAAAGTTTCTTAATTTAATAGAGTGGAGGGACTATGATGTCACCTTGTAGGCTAATCGGATGCTAACATAAAACTGTTTCCCTCAACAAAATCCCTATAGGATTTTCCCATAGGCTTTTCGAAGATTGCGAATAATAAGCTGTTCAAACACTGTTCACGTTTTGTCCAGCCGGAAAATCCTCACACGAAAATACAACTTTGAGCTCTTTTGAATCTTATATGCATACACAAGAACTGAAAAGCTAACATTAGCCTATAAACGGACTACAGTGTCCTCGAGGAGCACGTCTGTGAGGACAGCACCACCCTGCTACAGACAACTTTTCTAGCTTATTTTTACAAACATGGTTTAAGACAAAGATTTACTTTCTCTGTTTACTATATTATTATCCACGCTATATATTATAAACAAACACGCAAAAACACATCTGTAGACATACGTCCTATTTGGATAGTTTTTACGTGGGACATACATCTGTTTTGCTTTATGGTTGTTGTAAAAGTTTTAAAACTGTATGTATAAACGTGCCTACATAGTATAATCATAAGACATATTTAAATAAGTGTATCGCGCGCATGCACACAGCTCGCTTACCTTAGTAACATACGACAGAAATAAGGTGTGAGGGACAAGTCTATATGCCTGCGAGTTCCATTATGGACCGAGAATAACATTCGATAGTAATGTCACGAAAAGCAGCCCATACAGTCTGTCTTGACGGTCTTTACAAGTGAGGGCATTATTAACACACAATATGAATTCCCAAGTCGAAAAATGCTACAAACTATGAAATACTATTTATGAACATACTTAAAATCATAGATACTCAACGCAAGCGGGCTGCGCTCCAGACCAGCTCAGCTCGATGACGTATAATGTCTCCGACAACGATAGTCCCATTTAGCAACTTGGTAGCAACCGTCTTTTTAAAGAAGCGTAACTGATTTTAAAAATCAAGAGTGTGATGTAACTGATGTGTTTTATGTCGTAGAGTAAAACGCGAAAGCATCTTGAGTTTGTGTTAGCCACGGACCTTATTTAAGCGATTTTACTGAAATCCCATTGAAAAAACCTATTGACTTTGGGATGAGGGAACTGGAACTGCTAAAATGCTAACTCGCTTCCGGGTTTTTGCATACAATTTGATGTCATAGTTCCTCTACTCTATGGAAAATGTTTCTGGATATTGATCTAGGTGTTAGGGTGAAGAATTCTGCCATCTGCTGGTTAGTGATTGACCTTTTTCTGAAGGAAAACTTGAAACCTAAAGGGTTATGGTTTACAAACGTAAACAATTGTCCAGCAGAGGGCCATAGAGAGCCATTCATTTTTCTGGATGTGGCCAACAGCTCCTATCAAATCTTGTGATACAGTTTGTTTTCTTCTTGACAAGAGGATGGGGTGCCACTGTTTACATGTGTGTATTTGGGTGTGTGTGGGTGAGTGAGCTTGGGTCTCTCATCCCTTTAATATTTTTGTTCTGCGTTTGTGACCAAATACCAGAAACATATTTTCTTACAACCTAAATCAAAACCAGATTTTTTTATGTGGATAAAGGTAGATAATGAGGAAAAGTCACAAAATCTTATCTGAATAAAATGAAGGGAACCTTTTTTTAATTATGTAAAAGTTGATTGGGGTCATATAAGACCCCGAGTTCAAATTAAGGGTCAAGAAAGATTACTGCTTCAGGTTGAAAAAAAACTAATAACTGCAGGTTAGAAGGGTAAAACACATACAACTGATCCAAAAATCTAAGTCTTGATCACCTTTTTTATTTAAAAGACAGTTCATCCAAAAATGAAACTGTGATCATTTTACTTAATCTCTACTTTTTCCAAACCTGTATTTTTTTTTGTTATTATTATGAATATTGATAGCTGCTTTTTAAAACATTATTCAAAAGATCTAGTTTTGTTTCCAATAAAAGAAGTTCATCAAGTTTAGAAACACTCGAGGAAATTGCCAGGAAATTTTCATTTTTCAGAGAACCATCCTATTCAGATTCATTTTATCAGTCCAATCATGATATGAAACAGCACAACAAAACGAGTTATACATATTTTGGAAATGCATTTATAAATGCATGTTAATATTAGGTGGAAATTGTAATGCATCTCAAGCATTCAGAGACAACAGCGAGATTTTCCCCCTCAGTTTAAACTTAGATGTTATAATTGAATTTTGAATGTTATGATATTAAACAGTGATATATGTTTCTAAAATTAGAAGTATTTTACTGTATATTTGCTCAAGTAAAGATGCTAATATTAATATATAAATTAATATATAAGATACCTCTATTAAACAAAATATTCTTCATTTTTTATTTTTAAACTGTGTATAAAAAATAAAAAGTAATCATATTTAGGATGTTTTATAAATACTTTTAAGAGATGAGTAAAAATATAGGAATTAGAATAGTTTAAAACATAGAAAAATAGAACAGTTTAAAAACTTTCAGAACCCTTTTCTGCCACCATGACACAAAGAAGATCTGTTGTTATACCTGAGGTTTCTGGGCAGGTGCCGTGCATAAGGCCAAACATGTTCCCGCAAGCTTTGCTGACAGCGGCCATCTTGGCGAGAACCGGCAGGTTGTGAATGACGAAGGACACCTCTGTTCGCTGCTGGCGGGCCAGATTCTGAGCGTGACCCAGAATCCCAAACCCTGTGATGTCAGTCGCTGCGTGTGCATTGAAGGTGTGCATCAGCCCGGCCGCTGAACCCCCCCAAAACAAAGAAAATTAAACATTTGTTGGATTAACTCAATATTTATGAGTTGAACAAACGTGTCATGTACTAACCTGTTCTGTTGAGTCGAGCCATGTTCAACATGGCCTCCTGATAAGCCAATTCAACGTCCTCCTGAGTGACCACCAGCTTTATCTTATTCCATTTCTCTGGCTGAGACACAAAGAAAGATGACGAGCAGTTAAACCATGTTCACATTCATTCATTCATTCAGTTTCCTTCGGCTTGGTCCCTTATTTATCAGGGGTCGCCACAGAGGAATGAACCGCCAACTATTCCAGCATATTTTTACACAGCAGATGCCCTTCCAGCTGCAACCCAGTACTGGAAATCACCCATACACGCTCTCATTCACACATACACTCATACACTATGGCCAATTTAGTTTATTCAATTCACCTAAAGCCTGTCTTTGGACTGTGGGGGAACCGGAGCACCTGGAGGAAACCCATGCTAATACGGGGAGAACATGCAAACTCCACACATTAATTCCAATGGCCCAGTGCTGTGAGGCGACAGTGCTAACCACTGAGCCACCTGTTCACATTATAATCCTCTTATGAGAAATGTCTAAAACACTCACAATATCCAGCCACTGGTGCACTGCGACTGCCACTTGTGTTCCTAGAGGTTTAGTGAGAACCAGCACATCGCCTGGTACTGCATTATCTGGCCTACAACAGGCATAAACACACAACATTAGAAAAGGAATGAATGGATATATATATATTCGCTGAGCACAGGGATGGGAGGTATTGTACAATATATTTCTATATAGCAACAGTGTCCAAACTCAGTCCTGAATGGCCAGCGTCCAGCCCTAATCAAACACACCTGAACCAACTAATCAAGCTCTTACTAGATATACGCTAGTTGGAGCTAAACTCA